ATTATTATTATTATTATATTGAGATGGCACCATTAATATTATCATTATTATTATAAATTTTACAGTTATCAATATCACCGTTGCTTATTTAGTACGCTATTATTTAAGTGACGAGCCTTATTATTTTTAGTAGCAAGAAAAAGGTTGTACGTGCCAGTTTTAGACAAGAACGGCAAGTGAAAGTTCGTTGGTCGTTTATGCTCGAATACTCAATCAAATTTTAATGCAATATTTCTATGTACATGTTTCCTTTGTTTGAGCCGTTTTCTTGATCTGTGATGATTTTGGAATACTGCATCTAGGAATTTCAATTTTATGTCACGTCCACAGTTTTTATTTCAAAATTTTAAAATGCGTTTCTCTTTTTAGATTAATCTTTCGTTGCCACTTTTAAAAAGTAAACTTCGAAAGAAAAATTCAATTTTTTAAAATCATTTTACTATTAAACAATGGCAATTTTTCATTTAGCAGAAAAAAATGATATATTTTGGATAAATGATCTGTCCACGTTGCATTTTTTTCGATTGTGCCATACCCTCGTTATAAATATTAAAAAATTTAATTATTTTCATGTTTGTAAAATTTTAAAATTAAACCACATGACAATGTAACTCGCGCGTGCAATAGAGTTCGGGTTCGCGTTTTCCTTTTTTAAAAATCTTACCGATTCTTATTGTTGCCCGCAGTGTTTGCTTTGATAAAAATCGGTTCTGCATTCCATCGATTGCGATTTCCATTCACACAATGTGATCGTTGAAATTAGCAACGATATTTAGTCCGTGGCGATCTCCTTACTTTCAAATATCACGAATGTTATGCGATAATGTATCAGCACACGATTATTATATTTACTGGCCTTTACATGCAACCAATGCGAATGCAAACTGTAAGAATAGTAAATTGTAAATCGAATTATACTAGTAATATTATAGTATATTTAACGTAAAGAAAAAGTGAACACTAACATCTCCGCTCTCAATATTCCAAGCATTCACTTCATTTACATGTACGTTGTTGTTAATGGTATAAAAAAATATAATAAAATAACGCTTTACCGAAATTCAATCTTAGTTTTAGGGATATACGACATTATTTCTAGATGAAAAACTTGTATGTATGAGGGATGTATATATTATGCAGTACCAGTGCAAATGAAAATAAACAGAATGAACGGGAGAAAGAAAGAGGGAGTGAAAGAGAATGAAAGAAAGAATAAAAGAGAGGGAGAAAGAGAAAGAGAGTGAAAGGTAGTGAATATAAAAACCAGTCAGACGATGTGTGTATATGAGTGAAATAGATTTCTCACGATCATCTTAACACTACTCGTGTCGTGATCGTAGTACATTATCGGTATATCATTATCAATAGCATAAAATCAAAATATATATTTAGGATGATGGGTAAATCGCTACTGATAACACTACTTTAAATTTTATTTATTGATACATACTCATAAAGGAATAGTTTTCATCGCAGCAGTGTTAAGATGAGCGTACAAAGCATACAGTAGAAAGGAAAAGTCATTCTTCGGAACGCACATATAAAGCACAGTAAAAAATTTATAAGTCTAAAGACGTAGTACGTTTTCGCATTTACTATTATTATGAACGAAACAATCGCATCTGAGAATACAATGACAATTTCGTTAAATATAATTAATAAATCTAAAATAGAAGTTTCATCAAGTACGCACCACAAGCTGGCTGTGAGTCATGTGACTAACTCTCCTTCATATTTCATTGTTGACAAAGAGCACGTATATATTCATCACTATCGCTTAAATTAAAATAGACGAATAAACATTGGGAAAATGTAATTATTTATTTATGCTGACACGACTCAAGATGACTTTTCCTCATAGATAGAGACATCAAATGCACTGTATATCACAATAGAGAACAGCACTAGTATAAACATAAAAAAATATGATTATATTTATTATAATTTGAAAGCTAGGTACTCTTTGTTGTTTGTATTTTACAAGCGTAATCATTATTATATATAAATAAATATGAACTATATAAATGAATAAACACAAGGCTTTTATTTTTACATATATCATATAGAAAAACTGACTGAATTAGAAGATCATAACAATTTAATGATAACGAAAATATGTAGTTAAGATTAATAAGGTTTCATCTATTTGTATCTCTGCGGCTGCCAGTTTTTTCATCGCATTTTGCGCTTTTTCAAGCTGCTGAGTTTCAGATGGTGTCATCATTTCTGCAATCTAAAAAGAGTTTAAATTATTATCATTTATTAATTCACTTTTTTGGGGAACTCTTTATACCATAGTAATATAAGAATATTAATATTACATCAGCCAATTGTTGTTCCGTCGCGCCATGTTCCCTTAAATTAGCAGAAAGTATCTGTACTCTCAATTGCTTTTCTATCATACGTTTATTACTATTCGATTCATGTTCCCGTCTTATTATAATATTATACAATGCATGATAACAATGTTCGATTTCCATTTCGACAATTTTAGTTAAATCGATGCAGAAGCGATAAAGTAGTTTTGTAGGTCCTGATGAAGTACCACTTTTCTTCAACTCTTGAGTTTGTATATAATTTTCTTGCGACAAGATATATGTTAAAAATTTGGCTTCTTTAGCTGGAATCATCGCTAACTTCTGGATTTGGTCCAGGCTAACATTAACTTCATAACGAACTAATCTAAATTTACAAAAAAAAAAGCTAAGAGATTAGAGGAAGCATGCAATTAAAATATTAAAACATTCTTCCTTACAGTAAAGCGAAATATTGAGAATTAAATTTATAACTTACCTGAAAATTCTTGCAGCTTTGGAACCGAACTTTTCTGTTACGATATTTTCCAAAGTTGTCCATGTTAACTCTTTGAATGCGTTTTTCATGTTAACACTGTACTGTCCGCCACCAGAATCACCAACTCGTTTGATGAATTGTGTTCTATCTTCTTCTAAAAGTCGCAAGTACTGATCAATATAACGTTCAAGGGCTTCATAATTCAACTTTTTCACTTGTTCTTTTATTTCAGTATACGGAATTGGATTCGATGTATCTGCCCAAGATGCAGTTCGCAAGTACATCAAATTAATCATTTCTCTCATTAATTCTCCAGCTTCTTTGTCAAATTTTCGAGTCACAGCTGATATAACAGTTTGATCCCTATATATAAATCATACATTAATATTTTAAGATACAATCGGAGAGCATTGTAAATTAAGAATCTTACCTAAGATCTTGAGTAAATCGATCAAAATTGATCTTCCAATATACTTTTCTATTTGAAAATTCAACTTTTTGTCCTTCCAATGATTTAGATATGGCTAGCAAATCAAGATTTGGTAAGTCATACTTAGGTTTTTCAGTATCTTCTGACATTGTATCAAAAGATGTACAATTCATTAAAAATTGATTTTTCACTAATAACTCAAATACATTTTTTAGATCAGAGATAGAGGGCGGTTCATCAGCAGCTGCAAAAATATTTAGATTATTAATACACAAAATTCCAGAATTTATTACATTACAAGAATAAAATTTAAAAAATAACTTTAAAAAATAGAAGCTGAATAAGATATATTATACTTTTGAATCATACAATTAGAAGAGGCCTGTTCAATTCGTTTGTATGTTTTTACTATGACTTCAGATGCTGTGATATAACCATTCTTTAATATTTCTTCAAACATGATTTCACCCTCATCTCCACAGTAAGTTTTTGCAAAAAGTATGTATCTATAATGAATATTTATATTTCTAATGAGACAAATTATATTTTATGATACAATTAAAACTCTTATTTCAATGTATAAAAATACCTTGGATAGCGAAGAATCATAATAATTTTGTTTGGATGTATGGTATACTCAACGTGTAAATTATCCTCATTTTTGTGATAAGTAACAAAGCCAAATTTTATAAGAACACTTAGTCCTTCTTTTACCTAAAGATAATCACATAAAAATATTAGCAAAAGAGAAGATCCAAATGAGTATGTCATTAATCCTTAATACTCGCGATTGGATCGTTCATCCTGCATATTTCTTTTCTTTGAAAAATTAGAGCACCAAATAATTAGTTATAACATTTATATGTGATTTTTTTAAAATACATGAATACTTATAAATACTTTCGAAAAATGTTAAATGTATAAAAATCACTTAATAATTTTTGTTTATTTGTTAGTCATAAAAATTAACCTGAGACACACAAACAACTCATCGTATATACTAAAGGTTAATAAGTATAAAACATATTTCAACATGGGTGAAATTCATAATTCAATCTTATATTCGAACTCATCCGAGGTAGATTCTCGAAATGCTGTATGGTCATTTTATTGGTATCTTAATCCAAAAATAATTATCTGGGATGGTTTTTTATATTGTAACAGTGACAAAATAAAGCAAATAAATAATCACAGTAGATTTCTTAGTAATTGAGAATTTATATCTATTTTATTTCTCCTTTTTTTAAAAGAATATTGATATCTAATATAGTGGTTTCAAATATTAATAAACTATAGAATAATCCAATATGCAACATATAATTAATGATTTTTAATTCAGATACAAAAAAATCCTTCAAATGATCGTTTATGCAAAAAACAGTAGGTGACTATTTCCAAGTTTAAAACCAATATTTATAGACAATTCTTATATTTAAGAATGGTTATGGTTATGGTTTTCGATGGTTTTAAAATATCATGTGATTCAATCAGAATGCTGTATTAGCACCTTAAGATATTACTTAAGATAATCTTGAATATATAAGATCCTAATAATGAATATATAAGAACACTAATCTTCACTATTAATAATATTATTACATAATATATAACTGCAAACATTATTTACCTTTATTTTTGATAAATGTGTTCCAAAATGTATTGCAGATAACGTTTTTGTTCCATACAATAAATTATTACCAATCTGCTTTACAATAGGACCAAAGGATTCTTCTAACAATAACAAGCATAGTTTGCTGTAAAAGTCCCTCATATTTATGATAATTTCTTTGCTTTCAGTTCATATATAATTCCAAAAGCAATCACATGTAAATTATTTTTACATGAATCTAACAGCGTGATATTTTCTTTTTATAAATCTTTTTTTATATTCTTCAGATGGAGAAAATTTGGAATGCTTTCAATCTATAGTGTTCAACAGTTCAATTTCTTCTTGAGATTATGACACCTACAAAGAATATCCACTTCTTGAGTAATATTGAAGTTATAATATCATGTATAACTACGTGTACTTAAGTGCAATAATAACAACTAATTTCTATATATATTGTTTGTTTGTAATTCTCTAAGGCAACTGCATGCAAGCTATTTTCAGTGGCTCAAATCGGTGTGTATTTCTCTTTTTTGTATAAATCTTTTTTTTTTAGTACTTTTTGAACAAAATTTGAAATGCCTTTAATATGTGATAATCTGTGCCTTCAACAATTCAATTCCTTCAGTCTCTTCTTGATTAAAATTATACGATATTTGCAAAGAATCTCACCTCCCAACAGTAATCTTGAGGTTGCAATACTTGCAATAGATTGCTGATTACGTTTTTACGCTGTAGATCTGTTCTTTATTTCTGCACTATTACACGTAGAGTAATAAAAGTAAATTCACATGTAAGCGTTAAGAGTCAAGCAGCGGAAGCAGCAACCAATCAGCTGGGCGAATGCTGATTGGATAATCTAAAAGAATACACCAATAACAGTGAGCGCTCACTCAACCGTTTTGAGTTTGTTGAATGCAACTATAGATTTTCATAAATAGTCTAGCGCTACATTCCAAAATTTCTCTCCGAGGAAGATTTTATTCTATATACTATAGTATACGTTACATGTATTATATATTTTGAGTAAATTTTCCTCAGAGAGAAAGTTTTGGAATGTAGACTATTTATGAAAATCTATAGTTGCGTTCAACGAACTGAAAATAGTTGAGTGAGCGCTTGCTGTTATTGATGTATTCTTTTAGATCATCCAATCAGCATTATAGATCTAGGGCCCTATTCTTGAAAAGTATTGCGTACGAAAAATTAGGACAATATGTAACGCATACTATAATATTACCCTAGTTTCTCGTATAGTGCTATACTTTTCCAAAATAGAATTTATAGTAATGGAAGAAGGGGAATAGCCTATCCAACCAATGAGTGAAAAGTGTGAGCAAGATTGAGAGACAGAAGATGTTGTAGCGGATTGCTACATAATTAAGGAAATGTCGGTAAAGAAGGAAACTCATTAAGGAGGTCAGACTTGAAGCTGAGTGGTCGGCCGTGGCGTTTCGTTCGATTCAACTAGATTTATCAGTAAGGCGATGTAGCGAGAACCTGTTTTAGACGCCCTGGAATCAATCTCAATCCTATTTAAAGAATCTTTGGTGACTGAGGTGCTTACGCAAAATCGAGTGCGTCCCGTCTTTGAACCTTTGGTGGCGGTTGCCACCAAAGTAATGTATATTTCTGTCCTGTTCGGTAATTTTTCTTCTTTCTGCGCATGTACCTGTTACAGTCCAAATCCAATCAGAGGAATACTCGACTGTAGTCAAGTATGATTGGTTCTTACATTCTATATATAGATACGGTTTACCATCGACAGACTGTGACACTGTATCACCGTATCACCTGTTCGGAATCAAGTTAGCCTAGAGTAGATCACTTTTACTATTGAAGATTACTATAGAAGACTACAGTTAGCTGTAGTAAAATTCTTCGAAACAAGCTTCGAAACATTCGATGAACCAATTAGAAGAAAGAATTTTTCATACAAATTGATCAGTTAAAAAACTTCAAAGCTTCAACATTGTGTAACATCGCATTGATATTCTATTCTATCATTGATATTCTACCATTTTATTCGATTCGTTCTTAAACAAGATGGCAGAATAATTCTACGTGGTTGCATGTTACAATTCTTTTTTCTGAAATACTTAACATAATATAGCTTGTGTTAAACGACTCTGGTTTTTAACTCAACAAGATAATGACAAAATTCAAAAAAATTCTACGGAATACACAAATGTTTCCTGCGAAGACTATGAAAGCCACGATGAAGGTAATTGATTTTTGTTAATTTTTTCAATAGCCCAACTAGCAAACAATTTTTTGAAAACGATTTTCAAATATTTATTTATCGTAAAAATATTTAATGTTTGAAAAAAGTTTTTTTGAATATATTGTATGCGGACTGTGCTTAGCAAATAAAGCAATTGTTGTAAAATTCATTAATATAATTAGTCTTGCCCAGGGTTGAGTAATTAGTTAATTAATTAAAAGATAAAAAATTAATAATTTTTTTAAACTTAATTTAATTAATTTGATAAATAAATAAATTGTTAACTTGATTACATTTAAACTCTTTAATTTATTAACTTTTTTCTTTTCAAGTTAAAGTTTTACTATCTCTCTGCGAATATTACTTTCTATAAAATCTTAAACATTAGAGAATCAGTTCAAAGGAAAACAATTTGAATGGTACGCGACGTTCGTACTGCTTAAATATAAACGCGAATCTACATCTTGTTAAAACATATTGTAAGAAATAAGCATCGACAGCACGAGAAATATATCAGGTCCTTTATTTTGTAACTATCGGTGTATAAAACAATTAGTAACACAGTGAAAAATGAGAATGGAATCGACATCAAATCGACATCGAATCGCCATCAATTCGACACCGAGTTCATTATTATTTCTCACTAAGACAAAGGACTCCGCATAATAAAAGGAATAGGGAATAGAGAATAGGAGTTTCGACCGAATAGAAACTGTGCGAGGCCTGGTTTCTATTCTGAAATTCTTCAAGTTTCATTATAATGTGCGCAGCTTTTTTATCATGGTAGATGATGACTGTTGAAAATCAACTTAATATTCAATAATTAAAAGTACATAAACATATAACCATAAATTAGTACATAAAAACGTATATTTCAATTTTTATCAGATCATCTTTAGTGTACAATTTTTAAAACATATTTTTACGTAAACGTATGTTTTTATTATGTACTTATAATTTATGATTATGTAGTTATTAGGTTGATTTTCAACACACATCATCTAATTGTAACTCGTAGTCTTTGATTCTAAAATAATTTTCATTATTTGAATATATATATATATA